AGGGTAAATAAACCCCCATCCCTACTCCCACTCAGCGACAGCACGGCGTAAGGCGGAACACTAATTTTCAACTGGTAGAAGTGAAGAAAAACACGAAGGGACACCTCTATCCCTAGGACTGTACACAGGACTTGAAACGCCCTCAAAAAACCCCAGCTATTGGGGTTCAGCTGGCAAGGAGCCGCGTTGATGTAATTCAAAAAATCACACTCAAACTGAGTGAAAGGAAGACAGACGCCCAAGTCCCTGAAGAGACACTAGTAGACATAAAAATGGGGAGGGTCAGTAGACCTCCCCATGTACACACCCTCACCGCCCGGACAGGGTTCGAGCCGGATCATCCGGGAAATGGAAGGGTCACATATTCGGTGCGTTCTCCAAACTGCGTTGACCTCCAGAAACGACCTGAACACACTTTGGACCCCCCCATTTCGCGCTTGACCCAGTCGTAACCAGGGATGCCTGGTTCCAGGTCCTTGGGCGGAGGCGGGTCATTCTTCTCGACAGCGGCTTTCCCGGCAGCCACCGCCTTGTCGCGCGCCTTGCCCCTGGCAGGCGCAGAAGAACCGGCACCACTTCCACTAGCCATTAAAGAAACAGGAAGACTCGAAGAAGATTTGGGAAGAAGAAAAAAGAAAATTGTAGAAAGGAAGTACCTGGTACTCTTCCTCAGAAAACAACCCTAATAATGACGGGGTTACCAGAAAAGGCGACGGAAACTGTGGAAACGGAGACGGAGAACGAACGGAAACGAGAAGGCAAAGAGAACTATCGTACTCAGAAAGCCAAAGAGCGAAAAAAGAGTAAAGTGAAAAGAGGAAGAGGCGCGAGGGAGAGAAAAGGTTTCCTCCTAAATTCAAAACGGTCACGCCACGCGTCAGCCAAGGGGCACGTCTGACGACACATTAATGAAGAACCATTATGACAAACACAAACCATCATTACACAACCGTCACTCCCATCAGCGCGCTACTTGCACGTTTTCGGAAGTGACCGGTTATGACACGTGGCATCTCAGCAAACAAACCCCTCCAAAGGAAAATTTGGAACTTGGAATTCCACCCACCTCAAATTTTATTTCTCTTAACTTGTAAATTCAGGTGATGTGCTCTTTTTCCTCCTTAGCCTTTTTTCCCACTAAAGAAAAGGGTTTTTGGCCAAGGAAGGTTTTAACGAGGCACACCTCAGAAATAAATCAACAAAGCAACTCCATTCCCATACATTTTCGGTATCGGCACATTAACCATGACGACTTGCCAAGGTCGAGTTCGAACCTTGATGTTAAAGTCGAGTTCGAACCTCCAAATACAAATTACGTTGCCAAGGTCGAATCCGAACCTTGATGCCAAGGTCGAGTTCGAACCTTGACATCACATTTTCTTAACCAAGGCCGAGTCCGAACCTTGAGATCACATCTACTTAACAAGGTCGAATTTGAACCTTCAAACAACAAATTTGGGAACTCCTCAGAAGCCCCTTTGCTCTTACATCACTCGGTGCTTGGGAGGCAAGTGTACTGGCCAGCCGAGTTGCCGACTTGTCCCTCACCAATATGCTGACTCGGTCAAAGGTTTACCAGTCTAACCAAGCTGTAAGCTCATTATTGCCGAGCTCCTCAGCCCGACCATGAAACATGGACATCGGAACACCACATCGGCCCAAAGAGGCCACGTCATCAAACAAATAAAAATACAATCTTGTCACCGCGCCGCCCGCGCGTTATGAGAACGAGGTGACGGTTATGACACATGGCGTCATGACAAATAGGCGTACGCGAAAAGTCACGACCCCTTGTCGAGCTCAGTCTTAACTCCTCGACCTACGACCTTCGGAGCTCGGGGGGCTAGTGTACTATCTGTACTGCAAAGCCGAGCTCCCAGCTCGGCATCGCAGTGCATGACGACCTCGGATACGCGCTACGTGACGTCAGCTCGTCACTTAACCAGATCATAACTGATCTGAGGAGATCTCGGTCCAGACGAGATCCGCTATCTAATTAAATCACAACTAATCTCAGGCCCAAGGCCCAACGCAACCCTGATCCATACTAAGGTACATGCATTACTGATACGAGACATACACTCATACAAACCCTAACTTTAGCATCGGAGTCTCTTTTGCAGGTACCACCCCCATCTTGGAGCAGCAAGCGTACCAGTGAAGGAGGCTCACCGATCTTACCTAGTGGATCATCCCTACCTTGGATTCCCGGTAAGAACAGTTCATAAATATGAATTTTATTTGTATTTAATATAAAAGTTTACATCATTTGATGGACTCCTTCCTTCCATGGTGTAATCTATGAATTCCAAGGAGGAGCTCCCTCTTTCTCCACAGATTAGGATGAAGAATGATGGTTGGATGTTTCCTCAAGGGTGATGAAAAATAATATTGGGTGGTAATGAGGTGAGGCTAGACGAATAAGGAAGAGGAGATGTGAAAGGTATTTTTGGTGCTCTTAGCTAGCTCTCTCCACCAAGGGATGGTGGGGTCCACTCTAGGGTAGAGATGAGAGGATATGGCCGTGAGGTCCTAGGAGACTAAGGAAGGTTTCTTGAGGCAAAAATGCTCACTCAAAATGCATATATTCCAAAGTTGTTACAAGGTGGATGACCTAGAGTACTTATAAAGAGAGGAGAGCATCTAAGTTTCTTGGGAGCATTTGGCCGAAATTTTCAAGCCCAAAGGTACCCTAAATGATCCCTAAATGCAGCCCGAATGAAATGGCTCTCATTTCTCCTAAAAGACTAAAGTGCCCTTAGACCTAGAAAAGAAAGAGATGGACTTCAACCTCACAAGTCAAGGTTTAAGTCCCAAAATAAATCCAAGACTAATTTTCCCCATAATACAAAGGCTAAATACAAAATAAAAAATAAAATCCTAATATCTAATGTACCCAAAAAATACAAGGGCAAAATAGAAAAAGAAAGTAACAAACTAAGGAGAGGGCTCAAAATCCACACACATGACGATTATGGCTTTTGTTGTGGTGTGTTCTTCATCTTTCTCCACTCTCCTAGCCATGGACCTTGTGATAGGCCTTATATAATGCTTTAAGGATGATCCTCCATCATCATTTTTTTTTCTTGTACACGTTTCATCTTATTATTTTATTCTAATTTAATATAAAGAATTTAAAACAATATTTATTTCACAAGTAATCAAGAAAAGAAAAATATTTGTGCATATCCACAAGTTATTTACTAGTTTTAGTTAAAAATGGTAACATTAAAATTCTTATTCTCTCATTTTATTTTTAAAATATCAATAAATTATTACTTTTTTCACCCTAATGCTCTAAAAATATACTTAGTAGATCTAGAACTATAAATATACAATATAATTAATCATTTATAAAATAAAGAAATTTTAATTATATATAATTATCTTATTATAGTAAGTATTAGTATAATTAATTATTCTGTTAAAATGTATATATTACCTTAATAACAAATAAAATAAAATTTTACTAAATAAATACTTTCAAGAGCGTTTATAACTTATCAAAGTCACATCAATAAATTGTTGGTCTGAGTAATACTAAATTCAGTTCTTTTTTAAATAAAGTCTCGAATTTGAACATTGTAGATGAAAAAACATTATTGGAACGAGAAATCTTATTAAAGGTGGTCGATCAGGTTTTCCATCTCTAAGACTATTCAAGAAACACTTTCACATCCAAGTTGGAGGTAGGTTATGATTGATGAGATGACAACTTTGAAATTTAACAATACATAGTCTCTTGTCCTCTCTCCATCGGGGTAATCTATAGTTAGTTATTGTTGGGGGTTTACAATTAAGGTGGGTCCTGATGGTCAGATTGATCATTTGAAAGCTTGGCTTGAGCTAAAGACTACACCAAAATATTTGGGCTCATTTATAGTGACACATTCTCTCAAGTTGAAAAAATGACATTTGTAAGTCTTTTCCTATCCATGGCTGCCATGTGCAATTGACCACTTTATCAGTTAGATATAAAAAAAAAATGTTTTTCTCCATGGTTAGTTGCTTGAGGAAGTTTTTATGGAGCAATCACCTAAGTTTATTGCTCATGAGGAGTCTCATGGTTTGGTCTGTCGGCTACATAAAGTCTTATATGGGCTCAAGCAAAGTCCTAGAACATGATTTGAGAGATTTGGCAAAATTCTTCAAGAGTTTGGGATGATTTGTAGTGAAACTAAGCATTTATTGTTTTATAAACACTTTTCTACTATTCAATGTGTGTATCTTATTAGTTATATAGATGACATTGTCATTATAGGAGATGATCATAGTGGTATTCAACATCTTAAGCAACATTTGTTCCAACATTTATGGGCCAAAGACTTGGATTGACTAAAATATCTTATTAGAATTGAAGTGGTCCAATGAAAAACAATTGTTACTATTTTTTAGTAGAAGTATGTATCAAAATTTTAGAGGAAATTAGTGTTTTATATCACTAATAGTTGTGAATAATACTTAAAATTGTCATTTAATATTTTAATAAAAAAATAGTTAAAAGTAATCACATAAAAAACAAAGATTAAAAACAATATTTTTAATTTTAGATAGACAAAAATAATTTTTTTACAAGAAATAAATTAAAGTTAACTAATTTTACAGAAAATAAAAACATATTAAACTTTATTAAAAATATACTTTTGATGACTACTAAAAATATACATTTTAAAAATACTAAATCAAATCAAAACATCTAAAATATAACTGAAATATATCCTTAAAAAATATAATTTCAAAACTCAAATCCATTATGACGGCTGAATCTTATTTATTCCTAATCATATTCTTTTTAGTTTCCCTCAACAAATGAACGTCCGTTTAGAATTTTCCTAATACCTAAGATACAATATATGGTTTAAATTTTGTCAAATTGATAGTACTCTCAAATTCTCAATAGTCATAAATAGATATTTGAAAAAGAAAAAAGGGATAAAATCACAATAAAAAAATAGTATATTGAAGAGAAAAAAAGTAAAGAAAAGTTGTAATTTCCGACAAAGCTCCCATGAACAGCTCACTCTCAATTCTGGGATTCACAATTCACACCGTTCGTTCATCTCTCTCTCTCCTCTTTGTTCTTTTCTGTCTCTCTCTCTCCCCTCTCTCTCTCTCTGTCTCGGGAGAGAGATCCATCAGCTACAGCTCCCAAAAACAAAAACATAAACAAAAAAAACAAATCCCAAACACACATAAAAGAGAAATTAAAAATATCTAGGGTTTCTCAATATTAAAAAATTCCCTCTTTGATTTTCGTTATTTTTTTTTTCCCTTCCCACCAAACGCCGTTCCCGCTCCTGCATTCATTCTTTCATTCCAAGAAAACGAGGATTCAACTGTTCTCTCATTCGTAGCAGCTGCTGCTCCCTTTATTTTTCAAAATTTCCTCTTTTTTCTCGGTTTTTTCTTTGGTTCCTAATTTTATCCGCCGAAGCTGGTTTTTTCGGGAAAATCTGCTGCTACCTTCGCCGCCGGCTGCTATTGATTTGTCAACGGCACTTCCTTTGAGGTGGGTTCTTCTTAATTTTTATTTTCCCTCATTTTTTTCTTCTCTTTTTCGTTTTGAATTTATCGGTTTTTGGAAATTAGGTTTGGAGGTAAGCTTTTGAGGTTGTTTGCAAATGCGGGGGAATTAAAAAAATCGATTTTTAGTTCTGGGGTTGGGTTTTTTTTTTTTTTTTTTTGCTGCTCTCTATTTTTTCATGCTCTGGAATGCTTTTCCTTTTTACCATGTAGGTGCGTTTAATTTTTTTTTTTTTATTTTTTTTTGTTGATTGTTTGTTATTGTTAATAGGTTTAACATTTTTTTTCTCTCCCCCTTTTGTTATAGGTGTTTTGCCTGATTTGTTGATCCCGGGGAGCAGGTGTTCGGCATAGAGTGAGGGGGAAGATAGAGAAAAATCCAAAATTCCAATTAATGAGATTTTTGTGTTAGCTATATTTTATTTTTTTTTTTGGGTGAGGCGTTTTTGGTGAATTGAGGTTGTTTGAGGGTTTTATGCATTCTCTGATCTATGGATTCGGAAGTAGTCCCATCTTCTAGGGATTTGCTGAAATGTTGCAACTGTGGATGTGGTTGCTCCTTGCTAGCTCAATCTTCGGGGACTTGGATTCGATCTGTGAAACGGAAGCATGATGAGTTCAAAATGGATGGTCAATTAGCCATGCCCACGTTTGCGCGGGTTGAAATTGAGAATGAATGTGTGGCCTTACGGGAGATGGTCAGCATGCAGCAGAAAACTATTCAAGATATGAATGCTGAGTTGGAGGAGGAGAGGAATTCTTCGTCCACAGCGGCGAATGAGGCTATGTCGATGATTCTGAGGTTGCAGAGGGAGAAGGCAGAGGTTCAAATGGAAGCACGCCAATTCAAGCGTTTTGCGGAGGAGAAGATGACACATGATCAGGAGGAGCTTCTATCTTTGGAAGATTTGTTGTATAAGAGAGAGCAGATAATTCAGTCACTTACTTGTGAAGTTCAGGCTTACAAACACAGGTTGATGAGTTTTGGCCTTACCGAGGCTGAGGCTGAGGGCGATGAATGTGAACTTCCAACCTATGAATACCCTCCTTTGAAGTGCAATGTGATGCATGGTGGTGTGGATGCTGATAATGAAGACACGGATATAGAAAAATACGCGTTTGGTGAAACTCCAACTGACCATTTGAGGAACTTGGAAAACAGGATTTCTCAAATGGAGAAAACTCCCACTTACAGCCAGATGGACGGGGATTTTACAGGGAAAAACATTCTAGAGAAAGTGATTGTTGGACAGTCTCCAAGTCGGGCTAAGCATGCTAGGAAATTGTCCCGTGACTCATCATTTGGTGGGATGGGAAAAGAATCTGGTCCCGATTTTATGATGGATTCTCCCAGGCTCAATAGTAACTATAGGAAGGATTATTTCTCACAGCCAGAGGATCATTCCAATTTGAAGAAGGTAGATAATACATCAGATGGTGATGATACGAGTGACAGAATTTATACGATTGATTCTGTTCATTGTGGGGCTGGGGCACCAAATAATGGTTTCTCAGATTCCAAAGCTGGAGCTGGCGGTTTCGAAGATTATGCAACCACTCCAAGGGAGTTGGGGAATCATGCTGCTGATTTTGAGGATCCCTACATTAAGAAGCTTTACATGAGACTTCAGGCACTTGAGGCCGATAGGGAATCAATGAGGCAGGCAATCATTTCAATGCGCACAGATAAAGCACAGATGGTATTACTGAAGGAAATAGCTCAACATCTGTGCAAAGAGATGTCACCACAACGAAAAATGGCAAGGAAACCATATGTTGCTGGAAACTCTTCGTTCTTCTCAATTTTTAAGGTAATTTAATGTTGAAAATAGTTACTTCCGATACAATGTATGTGTTTCTATCATATATCTGATGGGGAAGTATACATCTTAAATTCTTATTTAATCTATCCACCTTTTGGGTTTGTCTCAAGCTTGCATTGAGATAATCAATCAATTTTTAAGGTAATTTACAGACGAAAATGGTTACTTCCAATACAAAGTATTAGTTTCTGCCATATATCTGATGGGGGAAGAACACATCCTATTTTATTTAATCTATCCATCTTTTTGGTTGGTTTCAAGCTTGCATTGAGATAATCAATCTATTGTTACGTCATTTTTCTTATCATTGCTTGCATTACGGTAAAGGATTTATTTCTGTGGTTTGCAGCTAACCAAATTGGCTTTTCCAAGTTTTGAATATGCCTTACAAGCTAACTTATGAATCCAATTAATGAATGAAAAAGATGTCACTCATTTACAGCAGAAGTAACAGACTTTTTTTCTCCTTTGTTCTCTCTTTGTAGTGTTTCGTTGATCATTTAAACAATGCCTTTGTAATGCATGCCATTTTAACTGATTGCATTGTTGAAAACCTTTTTACATTTGATTAAAGCTTTGAAAATGGAACTTATATTATTTCATCCGTGTTCAGTGGGTCTCATCAATTGTTTTCTGGAGAAAGAAAGTTCGTCAAAGCAAGTAAGTGATGGCTACATTTTTTATTTATTGCCTTTGTTATTCAGTCTGCAGTTTACTTATGTGATGGCAAAACAGGCATAATTCTCATATTAAAATGGCCTTTACTCAGAAATCATTTTAAATAGAAGGCAATCCTTTGGAATTCAAGTGGCCTTTGTTCATGAGTGATAACTCCTACGAGTAAATATTAGACATTGAGTCATATATATCTTTGAAGCCTCACCATTGTCATTGGATTTGGTTTTTGGCCCTTTTCTTTTCCTTAAAATAACAAGATTGGACCAAACGCAATTTATGAAAAGTTAAATGCTACCATATCCATAAATTCATAATCTCTTCTCTACAGAATGATTTCTTGTTTGTAACAATGGCAACACCTAGTCTTTGAACAGTACAGGAAAACATAAGTTCTGGGAAGTGTGAGAGAGCTTTTATTTGTTCTTGTTATGGAACTTTTAGGTCGCTTCTTCAAATTGATGATCACATACTGATATCGTTCCCTCAAATCATAGGCATTGTTCAAATAGCAATGTCATTGTGATGATGCCTGTTAATTATGCATCCAGGTTTGAAACAATACACATGCTCTGTGAAACCATCCTTCACAGTAATGTTATCCATTAGGGGCATGTATGGATAAACTTTCCAGAAGGATTTCTAAGATAAAAAAATAGGAAGAAAAATTGAAATAAGCTTCTCTATAAGCTGAAATTAGATTTTGAAAAAGCTAATAGGAGAGTTTCTACAAATTAGCTTATAAATAAATTTATTTCATGTTTCCTTCCTAATTTTCTCTCTCAGAGATGCTTCTGAAGAAGTTTACCAAAATAGGTCTTAATTATGTTATTATTTTCTAAATATAGTGGTTTCATAATTTCATCGGTTATGTGCATTGTTTTAAATCTTCAAGGGAAGAGTAATGCTTGTTACTGATATCCTCACATCCTTAAACAACGATCCTAGACTAAAAATTGTTCATTATGTAAAATGCTGTGACTGCAGGTACATGTTCGGGTTACCACCTGAAAGTGTGGGCCTGCTGATGCTTCTGGACAAGGGAACACGTGTAAGGCCATGGCGATGTGTCTCGAGTATGCAAATGGGGGATTAACTTTTGAATTCCCATGTCAAATGTGGGAGCATCAACTGAATTTTATTAACACTACTACTACTACTACGATGAAATTTTGTTTTGCCCCATGAATGGTAAAAATTGGTTTACTGTGCAGTGTTCTTTTTTTGCTTTTACGTGAGATTGAGTGTAATTTGGTGGTTGATTCATAAAACTTGGATATGATATGACATACGAGCCTTCTCACTCGTATGGTTTGTTGGAATTCAGTGCGAGGTACATGTTTGGACAATCTTGTACATAACATATTGCTGCAAGTTTTCTCATGCTTCATGGCTCATGCAATGTGTATCCAAAATCTCAATTTTACTAATTGCAGCATTGTGTTGTAGTGTTGCACTAGCACATTCAAATGTACCTTCCAAACTCCCACATTCGAATCTTCTGTTGTGTGTGGAAGGATGGTCGTGCATATTATTATTATTTTTAGCTTCTTTTTTACATTTATTGATTTCATGTATGATAATGTAAATTCATTAATTAAATTCATTTTAAAAGAATTGTTGTGTTCTTCATTCTACTAGTGACGTCCATGTTTTACGTTTGTTGTTCCATCTATAATTTCATTTTCTCTGGCAACTGAATAGATGGAGTTTGTTGGGAATTTGGTTGGGAATAATAATTCTATAGACAAGAAGGAAATAACTTTGACCAAGTTTTGTGGACCATGAAGCTGCTCTTTGCTTACTATGTCCATTCTCTCAAAAGTCAAAATGTTGACCGCCAAAGAAATTCGCACTAAGTAACTCTACTATGTCTATAATTTTAAATAGTGGTATAGAATTGTATTAGCTATTACAATTACTAAATAAACTAAATTTAATCCCATAAAAGCATCATTTATTGTTATTTTAAAATATAAAATTGTCTACTCATTTTTAATTAAAATATTTTTTAATTAAAAAATTATAAAAAGAAAAATGAAAAGCAGGAGAAGCTAATTGCTCTCGGTCCCATAACAAGCAAGTTCAGTAGGTCACATGGCTCAATGGCTGAAAGCGCACCATGCACCCGCAACACACAGGAGCAACTAACAAGTTCCTTGAAAATTAAGCAATTACTCGTGGAAATCATGAGATGATTTCTCTCTTTTATATCCCCTGCAATGTACGATTAGATCAATTATTAATTTACAAATAATAGATATAAAATAAAAAATAAATATTTATCTGTATACTTATATGTTAATATTTATATATAAATTTTTCATTTGCATTTGATAAAAATATTTATTCTTATTATTTGAACTGTAATATGCTTATTCGCGCTACTTATAAGAAATAAAATATTTATCTTTATATTTTAAATTTAATTATACAATTGGTTTTAATTATTTTATCCAATAAATAATTAAATTAATGTGGAAAAGCATGATGTTTGACTACTATTACTTTGATCATTAGCTGACGGCTGCTATTGGCCGTTATCATCGACTAAAGTGGGCCCTATTGACTTTTTTACCCAATTTATTTAGGGTGTGGTGTGGGCTCAGTCCCTTTAGGCAATCAATGATACATGACTTTTGTTAAATACATCTTTCTCTAATATCATAATACACTTTTTATTATTCTCTCTTTTTTAATAATAATTTCATTTCTACTCTAACTTCACAAACCCCCTAAGGATGAAGAAAAAAATACTTTTTAAAATATTAAATTTAATATTTCAAAAACTATTTTTCAAAATATATAAAAAGTACTTTTTGAAACATTAAATTTAACTTGACTTAAATATGTTTTTAGTCCCTATAAAATTAACAAGTTTTGATTTTAGTCCTTATTCAAAATTTTCTTTGTTTTTTATTCTTATAAAATTAAAATTATTATTTTTAGTCCCTATTTTTATGCGATCATTTTTTAACTACTTTTTATTTATTAAAGAATTAAGTAACTGTCTTAAATATTACCTATCATTATTGATATCATATCAATATTTAACACTTTTAAAAAATATTATAGATCCTTAAAATAAATGTTATTTTTCTACCTTAAAATGTCCATTAAGAACTAAAAATAGTTGGTTTAGATTTTAAAGGAATGAAAATCAAAGAAAAATATTTTACAGTGATCAAAATCAAAATTTAATCATTTTACAAGGACAAAAGATAATGTTTATAAATTTTAGAAGAATGAAAAACAAAGAAAATTTTTTAGAAGGACCATTATCAAAATTATCAATTTTATAAGGACTAAAAATATATTTAAGTCATTTAATTTTATGATCTAATTTGATTATTCCACTATGGCACTAGTCTAACTTGGTCACACTCTAATTTGTTAAAATTTGATTATCAAATTTTATGTGAGAAAATTTCGTCATACTCTAACTTGTCCCCCATGTACCATGGTTCGTCCTTGTTTCTAAAGATATGCCCTTGTTTCTTGAAGCTCTACCACCAATCATAGAAATTGCCAATGACATATTTGTGGAAGTTGTCCCCCCCCCCCACCACACACACCCTCCAATTCCTCAAGCTCAACACCCCCTTCATATGATTGCTCCTCTAGAGGATGATGAAGATGTTGTAGTAAACCTTTCTACCTATAGGTTCTTTCTCAGACACATTTGTAGATTGGAACAACTTGTGTTAAATCTTTTTTTCCTAGCAACAACAATAATACTTTCCTCCTTTACCACCTGTACCAACCCAGCCGAGCTTATGATAAGATCAAACCAAGCTAATAGCTCGGTTCAGAAGATCATTTATATAAGATGTCGAGTTACTTGGGAAATATAGATATCAAACTTGATACGTGGCATTAGCAAGACACCTCGGCATTTTCATGACATTGGACGCATAATCCATTATAATAACTATCAACTCAACTACTATTAACCCTTGGAGGATAACCGATTACAAGACGATTACATTGGAATAGGTAATTATATAGAAGATAGATGAAATATGACGAACAACTAACTTAATCGTCGGAGTCCTTTTTGCAGGTACATCCGAGACGCGGGAGGAGAACATCAATCGAGAAGACTAATCTCGCAGGTCGACTTCGTTTGATCTCTTACAAGACCAAGATGAAGATGAAGAAGGTGACCTACCCGAGCTGAAGAATTGATCTGATTCTTGTAAGAACATTTGGCGCTATAAGGAGGGTCTGGTAAAACTTTTCATCCACCATCCTTATGGTTTCAACCCAAAGTCAAACCAACATAGCAACGAGTGCAGTACGTGAAGACACGTCGAACATGGAAGACAATCCGACCCGTACGACGATTACTTGAGCAAATAGAATTGATGTGGCAACAACATGCAGCTCTTCGCAAACAACATGAAGCCGACTTGCAACAATTGCGTGTCAAAAACGTTGCTTTCAGAACTCAATGGCAATAATACCAACCACCACACACACCTCACACTAGTCATGTTCCTCCCGCCGCTGAGGAACATCATTCTTCTCCAGACCCCACATATCCGCCAGAGCCTAGTCGAACTCATTGATCCGAGCACACTCATATCAGTCATCCTACGTATGATCATCACTCGGTTCGTCGACATCCCTTTGTTGACGGCATCATGGAAGTTCCTCTTCCACCTGCTTGGAAGACATTGAATATTGAACGGTATGATGGAACCACTGATCCTGATGAGCACATCGACGCGTATGTCACCCAGATCAATCTATACACAAACGATGACGCTATCATGTGCCATGTATTCCCAACTTCACTCAAGGGGGATGCCCTTAGTTGGTACACCCAACTACGACCCATATCGGTTGATAATTTTGATACCCTCGTGCGCCTTTTTTCTGCCCAATATGCCACCAGCAGACCCCACCACATCACATCAGCTACGCTGTCCAATTTGTGACAACAAGATGACGAGTCCTTGAGACATTTTATGGAACGCTTTGCCAATGTTTCCATAAAAATTCGTAACCTTAATCCTAAAGTCGCCCTTCATTCTATGCTTATGGCACTCAAACCAGTAACTTTTCTTGATAGTCTTTGTCGACATCAACCAGCAAGCATGGATGAACTTAGAGCACACACGGCCGAATACATCCAAATGGAGGAACATGTTGAGTTTCGCAACTATGTCCGAGATAGCTTCACTACCAAGGGAGATTCAAGTAGCAAGGAGAAGTCAAAAACCCATTTTGACCAAAGATCAAAGAGACCTCGTCAAACACGAGGTCCCAGGTATAATTTTTATACACCCCTCAATGTTCCTCGAGTTAACATTTTAGAGGAAGCTAACCACGCAGATCTGATCTCCTTACCCCCACCGGCACACAACCCGGTCAACGCCGACAAGAGCAAACATTGTCGCTACCACAAAAATTATGGACATACAACAGAAGAATGTTGGAGCCTCAAAGACTGAATTGAAGAACTGATTTAGGCTGGCCAACTTGGACAATATGTCCAGTGCGGTTAAGCCTCTAGAGGAGGATTCTGAGGACGTGGCAGAGGACGAGGTCGATATCCAAGCCGATATCAGGGACGATACCAGAACTACCAAGGCCGATCTGAACAAAGCAATTACCATCAAACAAACGCACGTGAGGAAAGCAAACCGAGCACAAATAGTACTGACCCACAGCACGTAGACAAATCCTCTGAAGGAAATAACATACGCGGAGTCATCAACACCATTGCTGGAGGCTTTGCTGGGGGAGGAAGTTCTAGCTCCACCAGAAAATGACATCTGCGTAATGTCCAAAATGTCAACAATTGTCACAACTCGGAATCCAAGCCAGATACACCGACTCCTCCCATTGTTTTCACTGATGATGATTATGAAGGAATAAGCCTAAACCAAGACGATCCTATGGTTATCTCGGTCGAGGTTGCTAATTGGGAAGTTCAAAAGACGTTGATTGACCAAGGCAGTTCTACCGATGTGTTATATTGGCCAACCTTTCTAAAGCTTGATATCCCTCATAATATGATCCAACCATACTCTGAGCCCCTCCTTGGCTTCGCAGGTGAGCGAGTTCATACTCATGGTTTTATTGAGTTACTAACCTCTTTTGGTACAACTCAGAATTCGAGAAGAGTGTTGGTGAAATACTTGTTAGTTGACGCTCTCACTTCATACAACATCCTAATTCGGAGACCAACACTAAATCAATTAGGAGAAATAGTGTCAACACCCCACTTAACCATGAAATTTTCGGGCATGAATGGACATATCATAACTATTAAAGCTAATCAACAATTAGCAAGGAGGTGTTACGCTGAAAGTTTGAAGATCACTTTAACCAAGCCTCAACTTGAAACACCGACCTCTACAGTCATGGCTCACGTAGACATACGCGAGATGGCCAAGTTGGATCCCCGAGTTGACATGCACGACCATCGGCCTAATCCTGTTGATGACTACTTGAATTTCAAATTGGCAAGAAGTCAGGTCAATGCACCAAAATCGGAAAGCATATAGAAACCGATCTCCAAGGTAAAATCATGTC